TTGTTTGTACTGCATCATTTTGAGCAGTCAGACTCAGGTCACATTTAAGCCAAATAACCAATAATCCCAATCCCCTTCACTAACATGCTGCTCACATGTCAGGCACATTCTCATGAATCTCCTGCTCAGATCAGCCTCGATGTGTACAGAACATCCACTTGCTCTGTAACGTTTGTCCAACGATTTCTGAGCTTGAAGCGGCGCCAGCTATCTAAACGAGTTTTGAAATCATGAATTCAACCACCAAAGTTTTCACCTGTAGACTCTGAAACACACCAGTGTGAACAGTGTGTGGGGGTGGTTCAGGGCCACATGTGATTGTCCAGAGCAAAGTAAGAAACAAGTTCTCCCAAAACATCTTATCAAAAAGTGTGGCTTGTCACAGTCTATGGGGAAGTTGATGGCAATTTCTTCCTGTTGTCTGCAGATTGTTCCCTGGCTGAAATAATTGGGAGATATAGTGCAGATACATAAACAAGCTGTGACTGGCAACAGGAGAAAACTGTTTCACAGGAGGCATTTCTGCTAATAAGGACTGCACCTATGCACAAATGTTGGTGTTAAAGCACAGTTAGATGTGGTTTGTTTTGATTATTTGTGTTGGTAGTTTTCACACTGCCTGATCAGTGGATTAGATATACTGTTTCCAAAGTGCCCCTAAATGATTTGGCTAATTTATAGGAACCAAGGAGATGAGCTGGGTCAGGCCTTCTCTGGCTCACTTTCTCCCTCGTCTGTCAGGTGATGGAGAGGTTATATTTGCAACTTCTTTAGAAAAAGAAAACAAACCATGGCGAACCGGAAGACGAAAGTAATGAATTAAGGCTCAAGCATTCTAATTCTCGTGAGCGAAGACTCTAAGCCCCCCACCCCGACTCCTATTTAATCGGATGTAATCTACCTGCTTGGCAGCTTTCCAATCAGATAGTTTCAATTATGCTCTTGTAATGCCACTCTGCGAGGAGGGGGAAAGTGCTGAGCAGAGCACTTTGCAGGCGATTTGCAAATAACAGCAAGGGAGTCTTTTAGAGAAATGACTGAACAGGAAGCCAGAGAGCTGCTCCAGTTGACAGCTCTCTCACTCTTAGGTTTGCTGGTTTTGGCGGTGATGCTGTGTTTTGCATCCCACCTCCTCCTCCCCGTGACAGCAGCTGTCGGGACAGTAAAGTGCCACTGAAGGTGGCCTCCTATGGTAATACGAAGGTGATTATTTTCCACTGCTGCACCACCGTTTCACAACCAGGCAGGCAGGTTGGAGCCTTGGGAGCAGCATGCAGAAGCAGCCTTTCCGGATCTCAGTGACACTCGAAGTTATTGAGTTAGTAGTTTGCAGTCTGCAGTGCTCGGAGTCAGCAATTCAGCATTTGTGTTCTCTGTATGTGTGTTTGCCCCTGATGTCAGTGGGCTGCTGGCCTGTCTGAACACCGAGTGAAAGTTAATCTGGATGTCTGCAAACATGCGACTGCTCCTGCCGTGATAAAAAGCCCGACGGACAGAACTGGAGGACAGCGGTGCTCAGTAGTCTGGCAACATACGCTAAAGGTCGACAGTGTCATGTGTGACCGATGAAACAGATTGACCCGTGGGGCTCTAGTACCTTGTCACCCTCCACAATCCCAGCATCAGTCTGCAACGTGTCACCCTTGGGGCCCAACATGGCTACTCAGGCTATTAACCTCCAGCGCACGAGGACACGGTGAAGTTAGGACCACTACACTCGTCTCACTGTCACAAATCCCCTCTTTATTTGGCAAGTTGAGAGAATTTTCCTGCTCCGGTGTCCTTCCCCACGTGTTAGCTTATGGCTGGACACGGTCAGGCTCAGGTGGAGCTTGGGGAAGCTGCCGCCAACCTGGACGGCTGCAGGGGAGACAAAGTGGGACCTTGAATCAAACAACTGTCACTGCTAACAATGTATGTCACCATCTCCGAATGGGCCATAAAAACCAAATAAATGATGGCCATTACACTGGAGATTGTGATTATGATAATGAGAATAATAAAGGCGATCATCATTACGATCATGATGATAATGATAATACTGTGATGATGAATTATAATGAATAAATCCCTACCCCATTTCCTAAATGGTGGGAAATGTATCACTAAGAGAGGCCTGCAGCCATCCAGTGGGCTCCGAGCGGGGTGAGGGTTATCGGTGTGTGCGAGTCATTTGAACTGTTTGTACTCCGGCTACAACCTCCTTTCTTTTCACGGCTGTAACACTACAACGTTGTGTCTCTGTGTGGGACTTTCCAGCCGGTGGATGGTGTGTGTGCCATGCTCAAAGAGCACTTCCCAGGAGACCCTGCAGTTTACATATCACATTCAGACAGATTTTGTGCTCAATATCTGCCACTTGCATGCTCTCGTTTCTCACCCGCCTCCCTCGTTGCGCTGTTTCTTTATTTAGACCCCCTTCGTGAGTCACAAACTCTGAATCAGGGTTCTTTTTTTGTTGGTTTTATTCATTTGTTTGCTTCAGTGAAATACACTATCCCTGTCAAGAAATAGAAACTTGTTTTGTTGCTTGTCCAAACACCCACAGCAAACTTTATCTTTTTCTGATGAGTGACCTCTGCTGGTCAAATCTGCAATTAGTTAGCTCACCTGAATGTGGAAACTGCAGCACGGTTCATGCATTTACAGGTTAAGCAAGTGAAGCAAGGTGAAACCACAAATCAGATATTTTATAAATAACAGTAAGTCCTCTGTATATATATAAAAAAAAAAGTTCTACAAATAAACTAATGAAGCTGTTAGCACTTTGATATACTGGTATATGTGAATAAACAAACTTCCAAAAAACATCTGAAATGATATGAAAGGAAAGAAGAAAAGGCCATTTATAGCTCACCTTTTATTCTGACTGTTGTTAAAACATTGATTAAAAAGAAACATAGCTGAAACATAATGGACTGCGTATTGATGAAGCAGATATCAGCTCAGTATTTTGTCACGTGAATGCAAATAAAAATGTTTTTTCCGTTAAATAAGCTAAATTAAATTGTCACGTGTGGTCGATTTAAATAGGAGAAAATGGAAACCAAAGCTGCCAGAGTTGAACTGAATGCATGCTGTATTTTGTGCCGTAAACGTCACACCGCCCTATAAGTCACATCAGGCCAAATATGTATAATAAAGTGGAAAAATCCATAAATATGTCGCTTTGCCGTATAGGTCGCATCTGTTATGAGTCGGAAATGTTTGCCGGCGCTGTGCCAAAAATCGATCGGCTACCAAATGGCGACCGTAGGAGTGTGCACAGGAGGACTTGAACAAGAATTTAACACGATTAACACCTAAAAACAATTATTTGTTTGCTCAAAATTATAGCAAAGGTGTGTCTCAGTCTAACTTGTCCTTAATAAATGCACTTTGACGGTCAAATCAGCTGCATTTCAAAAATTGATCTGCAGAAGCGGGAACGCGCAGAGGGATGACTCGCTATGCATTTTGTCAAAATTTAACAAGATAACCACCTAAAAACAATTATTTGTTTGATCAACATTATAGTAAAAAAGTGTGTCTCAGTGGAACGTTTACTTAATAAATGCACTTTAATGGTCAAATTAGTTGCATTTTGTCGGGGCGACGCAGCGAAATTAAGCTGATTTGACGAGTGCTCCAGGCGAGCTGGACAAAGGTGACAGGCTATGGCAAGCCGATTGTGTAATTAATAGCCACTTTTACCTATTACATGACACAATGGCATGCCATACTACTCAAGTGCCATCTAGAGGCTGAAAATGGTAGTGTTCAATATTTTCAATGTCTGAATGAATGAAAACAGTCATATGTCAGCCAAAGATTTGTTAATAAATATGGGATAGAATCCATAAATAAGCTGTTTTGTGTATAAGTCACAGGGCATTTAAATTATGCAAAAAACCTGCAACTTACAGGCCGAAAAATGCTCATGTTCGTGCTGCTGTTCGACATAATGTTTTTATGCTACTAGTGGTTAGTGTACTTTTAGTTGATGCTTTTCTTAGTTCATATCTTAGATGTTATCATTGTTTTTCTTTTACATTTTTATTTGTTGGATGTAACTGGGACCCTGTGTACATAATTTCATTCTACCACATGTACCACATGTGGTGCAAACAACAATAAAGAATATCTGACTCTGAAAAATATAGTATGCACTTTGTTTTGCTGTATGTTAATGAGTTGTTGAGGTGTTAGGTTTTATTAACGTCAGAAGAGTCAGACTTTTGTTCTTTACCTGTTGCTTTGCTTTCACTCCATTTTTTTAACGTTTATTATTATATGCACATTTATTCACTAAAATGCAAGAAATTATCCTGTTTTAGGAGTTTAGCTGCCTAAATATAAAAGCAAAAAAAGAGGAAAACGTTTGCAAGATAAGTAATGAACTCCTCTCACTGGAGTGCATAAGAGAGGATAAACTGAACGTTTGACCAATGAGCTTTTCGTCCAAACAAAATAACAGTGCCTCAAAAACCAGGTCCATCTAAAGAGACGAGCCACCAGCATGCTCAGGGAAATCTATCACTGGTGTCATGCTGTGAAACAAGTTGAATTTGTCATTGACGTTGGACACGTCATTTATATAGAAATGTCAGCATCACATTCGCATAATGATGGAAAGAACAACGCTGAGGGCTCTGGGCCTCGCACTCTGATGGCTGTGTGCAAACGTCACCAATAATGTGTCTTTAGTCTAGACATGTCAGGGCTCTGTAGGATCTATATCCACGCCTTTTTGTCAGCGCCTTCAATCTTCCCCGTTGCTCAAGAGCTAAGTGCAAGAGATTAATAAGTGGATTTGTAATGCACAACCTCAGGTTTGACACTATAAGTCATTGGCTGTTTATCGCTTTGGCTTTCTTGCCTGATTGAAAAATGACAGAAGCTGAGTAAGTTAGTCAGCCCCCCCACCCCCACCCCCTTATACTGCAGGACCAGGAGGTACAGTACACTGTGGCGGCTAATGAGCAGCTTGTGTCTTTTCTGTGTTTGTTTCCCTCCGGCAGACAGATGACGTGACGCAAACAGAGGGCTCTCAGCAGCTCCAGCTCCAGCACTCAGACTCTTCAGAGAAGCAGCAGCCAAAAAGGTTACATGTCTCCAACATTCCCTTTCGCTTCCGGGACCCTGACTTGAGGCAAATGTTTGGTGTGAGTATCAGCAAGATTTTTTTTTTTTTTTTTTAAAGCACTTATCCTCATTTCAGTGGGTTTGTCAGTCAGTTACACACAGATGACATGGGGGTGTTCAGATTCTCCAAAAATCATCTAGCCCTCCTTCTAATGAAGGCTGTTACAGTTGGCCGCACCTCCACTTAGCATCGGAGGAAATTATTACATCTTTATGGAATAGAGCCTTTAGCTTCAGAGGAGGAAAAAACAAAACAAAACGCTCTCACAGCAAAGACAGCTTAGTTAATGAGTGAAGCCATCGCTGCAGCTGTCATCTAGTTAATGCATTGATTACTGCATTGTCTGGGGAGAAAAGTGCCCTCAGAGTTTTTGCAGGTGATAAACAGCTCAATCAGTCACAATCAGCTCGTGAACTTGTGCTGCTCTGCAGGTCAGACACGAGGGAGTAGTTAGTGGAGCTATGAAACCTGCAGCTGATCGTCTTTGACTTCAATCCCAGAGAGATCTGTCCCATAACATGTTAAACAACTTTAGTTTATTCTGCAGGAGTAACTCACATACATTGTTTTTTTTTTTTTTTGTACTCGAGCAGCTTTCAAAGAAATTAAATAGTCAGATTAAATCAGTTTTCACAAGTTACACAACCGCAGCAGTTTTCAGCAGCAAACAGATGAGTAACTTGGGCCAGCAGAGGTCTTTATCAGAAGTTCTCTCTGTCTCCTGGCCAATTATTGAGGCAATACGTAGTTGAACAGCTAACCTTTGTGTCTCACACAAGCCTCAATAAGAACTGAACCAAATTCAATACCAATAATGGATCTGAATGGAGACGATTTCCAAAAATGTACTTCAAATGTTGCTCACTAATTGCACCATTAGAAGCCAGAGGCGTTAATTCTCATCGTTATGAAGACAACATTGAGCTGATGATATTAATTACCACCGAGCCCTTGCTGTGGCTTTACAAATGGCAGACAACATGGCTGCTTTCTCTCTCTGATTGTTGGCTTTATTGTTCCCAGCTCTGGTGCAGGTCATGTGGAATCCAAATCACCCCCGTAATTAGCTTGGAGGCTTTGTGAGCCTGGCCGCTGCATGCAGATATATGATAGAAAATTGATTGCAGCCCACCCAGTCTCCTTCAATCACCCTCCTCGCTCACATGTTGCCCGCTCCTTCCCGTTACTCTCCTTTTCAGTCCTGGTCGTTGGCACAGTGGAGGATTGTGGGATTGATTGTCTTGGTTAGAGCTTGGCAAAGAGATATCTGGTCCGTTCCACCCTCTGACATGGCCTCCACAATGGGGCCTTTGTGTGATCAGCGTGTGCAAAGCCTCATCCCTCTAGCTCTAATGGCTTCTAGAGCGCCACCAGCTCAATACGCCATTACTGTTACGCATGAGTGAAACCCACAGACATGCAGGCAGGAAGACAGAGGAGAAAAAATGTGAAGATGCCTCCAGAGCCCCACTAGGAGCTCAATTTGCTCCCACACAGCCCAAAGAAACCAGCAACAATGGTTTCAGCCTCTGAAGGAAGCCAGAGTGGTGGGATGAGACTGGAGGGTCCGAGACGCAGGCTACTGAGTTGGGGATGTGGAAAGACGTGCGAGCTCCTAACGAGACGCTGAAGAAAGGTCTCATTAGGGCATCTACAATGAGCGTTAATCAGTAATTACAAACTGTGATCTCTGAGAGCTGGTAAGTGCGCAGGAAATGAAAACACTCCAAGCGCGATCGAGGAGCCCACGCTGCGCTGCTTGAGGGCGCCCTCATTTGTGCAACTGGATTCTTCAGCACCGCTTGTCGTGGTGGATGTGAGGGCTCTCACAGCGTTCCCCAGAGCAATCAGGGCCTCCCTCCTGCTCACCCCCTCCCCGCTGTCCCACTGTCACGCCGACTGCTGTGCTTGAACATGCTCTGCCCTGGCCACAGCAGCGTAATTATGGGTTTTTGAAAAGCTCGAGGATATTCAGGCTAATCAAAGGTGGAGGCGCGAGGGCCTCAATCTTGTTTGTTGCTTCCACACTCACAAGGCCAAAGAAATGCAGCCTATCTTAATTTTATTCAGGAGAAAGAGGCTGCGAGTCCACATCAGAGGAGGAAAATCTCACTTTGTTTACAGTTTTTTTAAATGAATGTTTTAGGATTTTTTTATTTTCTTGTCAGGCCTCAGTTGATTTTTGCATTTGGGGATAAATTGTATAATTATTTTCCTGTTTCTTTGAAATGCATTCAGCGTACAGATTAAAAAGTGATTAGGTGAAGCTCCAAATATTGGAGCGTTGTAGCGCTTAAGCGCTAAGTGAACTGGAACAGAAGGGGCCAGCGGTGTGGTCACTGAACTTAAAGAGCCCCGTAGATGGATGTAGCTGCAGCCCCGTACTGTAGATGACATCAGTCTCTCCCTGTCCTCCCCCTCTGGAGACTCCTCCCATCGAAGCTATTGTTTATCGGTGCTGCTGATGCAGCTGTTTCTGTGTGTGTGGGAGGGGATAGAAGTGCACGAGATCAGTGGTGAGCAGCGAGCAGTCCCCTGCGCCATGTGGAAATCCACAAAGACGACTTCCTCTGAAACTAATTAATCGACGCCACAAGCCCATTACACTCGGTTAAAACAATTAGCATCTGCACGTTGCGTGGGGGAAGCATTGTCTTCTCAGGCGAGAAAGGGGGCATCACGCTGGGATATAAATGCCTGCGCCAGTGATCGAGCCTGCATTCCTCGCTCGAGTCAGTGGAGCTGAGCGCCATACGAGACAGATGTGTGGATAGGATCTATGGAGTCTCGTTCCGAAAGGAACAGATATACGAGAAGAAAGTGTATGTGTGTGTGTGTGTGTGGGGGGGGGGGGGGGGGGGATTTTAAATAGCCAAGCCATTTTTTTCTATTTGGGTGTACTGAGATAGCTGCATTAGCTTTAAAATGAGGAAGAAACACAAGTTTTTCTGCTAACCCTCAGCTCCTTGAGCCCTCTCCAGCCAGATAATAGCTAACTCCTCCTAACCCCTATTAGAGGCTCAGTCAAACGATCCATCCATTCCCATTGAGCGTCGACCACATGGAAGGCCCATTTCTTCCCTGTTGTGCTGAAATGAAGGCGACGCGGACCGCTTGACAGGGTAATTACTTTTAATGAAATAATACGGCCATTGCAGACAGCAATTAAAAGTCACACTCGCTCCACTCATTAGAGGAACTTACAGTTTACTTTCATTCCTCTGTCTTCTAATGATCCAAAGGCAGGCCTGTTAAATCGAAGGGCTGGAGCATGTTAACCCATGGGGACTGGCCCTTAGGTCCTGTTGACTGTGTGCGTGCACAAACAAAGACAGAATAAGAAACTGAGAGGAAATAGAGAGGTAGCGCTAAACTCCTCACCCGTCACAGCGCAGTTATCTGCTCAGGAGGGAGTTTTCTAAACGGTGACGACATCAAAAATCTAGTCTGATGTTGTTTTTCTTTTTGTGTGAAATCCAACAAACATCAGAAACGCTGTGAAATAATCAGAGATCAAGTGTTTTTACAAACATTGTGATCTTATTTCATTGATGGAAACTACAGAAAGGCATTAAAGCAGCCGAGACGAGCTGTCTTCTCTAACCACGCCAACAACCTTCAAGAACTGTTTGCTCAGCTAACAAATGCAAATTGACCACCATCTCCTCGCAAAAATAACATTTCCATATCGCCTTAATGATTTTTCTTTCTCCAGTCTTCCTCCTCACAAATTCAGAGTTAGTGAGGCTTTCTAACTCCATCTCTTCTGTCTTTCTTTTCTTTCTGCAGCAATTTGGAAAGATTTTAGATGTGGAGATTATCTTTAATGAGCGAGGATCCAAGGTAAGTGAACTAGAACGCCAGCTGCTTCATTACCATGTACTTCTTCTGTTTCCTAATGATGGCGTGAGTGTGGTGTGCACGTTAGCGGAGAGTAGAGGTCTCCAAACCTGGTTCTGAAGAGGCACATCCACTGAGCCTCTCGCTCTCCCTACCTCACTATTGTTTTGGTTGTTTGCTGCAGCTCTCGCCCAAGATGTGAATCATTAGGCCTGTCAATCAATTTATTATTGAGCTGTTTCACATTTTACTCGATCCACCAGCAGGCTGCAGGTCCTCTAGCATATGGATCAGAACTGCTTGTTTAGGGAGCTAAACCTATTGAAAACTGAAACGCTGATTAAGATGATCCTGCATTAATTCAGATTTATAATTATTTGTGATGAGCAAATCTTTATCCCATCGCAGTAAGTTATTTAACGTTTCAAACAGAACATGTTATGTTGGCGATATGTCGCATACATAAACTTCAAGGGGCCAGTTGAAGGATGAGGTTGCCCTTATTCTGCATTTCTTGTTATAAAAAAAAAAAAAATCCAATCGGAGGACCAAAACTAACAATGCGCGACTCCCTTTCTCAGCACTTTCTGACTTCCCCACTTATGCGGCACTCGGCCCCAAGCTCGCCGCTTCCTACTCAGGTTGTTAGTCTTTATAAAAAGGTCACAAATATGCAGATTTATTTAAATAAGAAGAAGCTCAGCATTTTTAGAAACACCGAGCTGCTCAAGTTTCAAGTAAACAATGCTTAACTAGAAGGCAAAAGTGTAGCTGCTGGGGATTAATTTCAGCATCAGATTAATGCAGGTTTGGCAGTTTTCACCAACGCAGGGTCAACGTTATTGGCAGTCGATGGTTTGATTTGGACACTTTCGCAAACTTTTAGCTTCGGCTTCTTTTAAAACCCATCTGCACAGAAACACCTGGAATATTTCACAAGATTCAGTTTTACTCTTGAATCTTTTATGGAATCGGATTTTATACGGCATAGATTATTTATGTCTGAAAGATAATTCAAACTCCACAAACCAGGAGCTGCAACCAGCTGTAAGAAAAATAGCCACGGCATTGAGGCGTTGCAGCAGTATCAGTCTCCTAACCACGTACCAGGACAGGTGAAGCCTGTGGCGGTGTGAACAGCCGAGTGCTACTCATCCAGCTGTTCATTTAATAGAGTGTACTAAGCTCCACAGCTTTCCATTCATAAAGGCGACAGGCTCCCTGGCTGGGTGTTGAGGCATGAATACTATTGATTCCCATTCATACCTGGGAGTGCTTTTGGGCTCGTATACAGGCGTGCAGGGCACCCTGGAACCAGGCGCCGCTGCTGCTGCACTCAGCCCCCTCTGCCAGACAAGATTGAGCACCGGATAAACCTGCCTCCTCCGCCGTAACAAGCATTTATTGTTTGTGCCCCACAAAGCCATTACCCATGATGCTTCTCTCCCTCATGCACTCTCTGTGCTATATAATGAACCTATCAGGCCATTAATAAATAATCTATTTCCTATGAAGCTTTGGCAATTTGCATTCAATATGTTTGTCTCCTTTGAAAAATGGTGTCTCCACTCTCTCCTCTTGTAAGCTAATTATTTGTGCATGATATGAAAAAAAAAAAAAAAAAAAAAGACTGAGGGGGTAACCACAGTCGGGTGAGTGTCCAAAGGATTAATTTTGCCCACAATTCCTTTTTTGAATCTATTTTTTTTTTTACCGCTCTTTCCCCAAGGACAGGTTCTGTGTTATTTATGCTAGAAATAGCAGCACTGGGATCTTGTGTATGCATGCAGGATCACACCACTCGCCATCTCTCACATGTATTACATCCTCAAGCAATTATCAGGCAGCGCCGGCCACGCTCCCTGCTCCCCGGCACATACCTCTATAAGTATATATAGAAACTAAGGGAATGGAACTTGTTTGGCCAGAATATCTTAATGCCTGCACTACAGAGCTCAGGTCCAGTATCCCAGTCCACATAACTCAAGGAAGTGACAAAGCCTCCCAGGGGAGCGTGGTATGGAGAGACTTGGGGGATGGGATGGAAATAAGAAAAAGGGTGTATTTTAGTCAGGGTCTAAAGTTAATATCCTCACTCTTCTCTATCACAGTGGAGATTGTTTACAGCATCGTTCACTTTGTTTCTGTGCAAACGTCCAACTTATTAGTGCAGTGGATTAGAAATGACCAGAGATCACGTTAACGTCTCTGTGGAGAGGATTCTTCCTCCCTCCTGCTCCCGGTGCCCATCTTTTGAAAAGCTGTTTGAGCGTCCATGCTGTTCAAGTTTTGTAGATAATTACACCACTATTATGGCAGCCAACAGTGTTTTGCATTTGCTCCTTCCAGACATTAACCCATGGCACCACAGCTGTGCCGTTTAATTGGGTAAAAGTGGGCAGGTTTGTTGGTGTTGCTGTGTGAAGCCATGTCATCGGTATCCTTTCCTCCTCGGATCTCTCTGTTTGCTGTTTCCTGACACCTCACTAACTGCCTCTAATTATTCCGGCTGCTTACAACTCGACTCTGCCGCCACTGTTGCTCATTTTCTCCTGTCTTCTCACCTCTTTCTCCCTCTTCTCCTCCCTTTCCCTTTTTGTGTGTCAATCTCTTACCTTTTTATCTCTACCTGTGGCTAACACGGCACTCTCAGGGCTTTGGGTTTGTAACTTTTGAAACAAGCACAGATGCTGATCGTGCACGGGAGAAACTAAATGGTACAATCGTTGAGGGACGCAAAATAGAGGTGCTTTCATTTTTTCCCTTTTCCCATATTTTGTCTTTGTTGCTTGCTGCCTTCTCAAATTATATTCTATGCTAAAGCATGTGACTGCTGTGTGTGTGGATGTGCATTTCTGACTGTGTGCGCGCGCATCTGGTTGCATGCATGCATATCGATGCATCTAACTCGTTTGCAGAAGAAAGCAGAATCCACACCTGAGAGTCTGGACACACCAGCTGTCCATCATCACCTGACAAAGCAGAATGAATGCATGCCCTCATCGTCTGGGTTCTTATCAAAACTAAAAGACCTGCACTACCCTTCTACCATCGTTTAATGTTGCCTGCTCTGTTTATTTTTGTTTGCAACAAGCCAACCTTCCATTCAGCAATAATCATTAGATCAATAGAAAAACAAACCCTCAAAGCACTGTCTGTTTTTCATTTGGAATACTTTTTTTATATTTAACCAATTACTGAAACTGTAAGATCCCCTTTTTCTGTTTATACTTGGAGGTAATTGGTGCATGTTCTCTTCGCTCTGGTGAAATGAGTAGGAAAATCAGGGTGGAATGAACCAAAGTCAAAGTTTAAAAAATATTTATATAGTAGTGTTTTTCCCCCCTTTTTTGCTGCTTGCTTGTGGCCTTCTGTGGACATTTGGGTGGCGTCATAAAGATCTGTAATCAGAGTGTGTTTTCTTGCTTCAGGTGAACAATGCAACTGCACGGGTGATGACAAACAAAAAAGTGGCCAACCCCTACACAAATGGTAAGGATCCAGCTGTGTAGTCTGAAGAAATGAGCTTTCTTGATGTAGTTTTGAGTCGAGTTTTCTCCGTTCTCAGGCTGGAAGCTGAATCCAGTAGTAGGAGCTGTCTATGGTCCTGAACTGTATGCCGGTAAGCCCTTTTACTTTTCCCTCCACATGTTCTGCACCGTACCTGAGCCACAGCCAATCCCAATCCGAACCCTGAATTTCTACAATCGGGTTCATCCTGAACCTACTGAACATGAAATTCCCCGTAAATCAAAGTGAATCTGAAAGCAGCTCAGATAAGCAGTGGATGATCCAAGCTGCTCTGAGTGGCTGAGGGAGCCTGAGCCATTGTTTGTGCAGTGTGCAACTGTAAAGCTGGGGAGAGAAAAAAATGATTTCAAGAGCAAGCGCCCCTGCAACTGTTATCAGATTGTGGAGGCTGCTGCTGTGGATGGATTTGCCAAGTGCGCCAGATTGACTTTTACAGAGCTAACCGAATAAGGGAGATTGAGTGAGCGATATTGTTGGCACCCACCCTGTCGAAGGCCACTATTCCTTCTGGTCTCAGTAATGGAGGAATGAGATGAGCTCAGTGGGGTTTTCCCTATCTCTCTCTGCCTCTGCATGCCAGCTTTATTGCTGTATGTTATATGAACCCTTTGCATTTTAATGAGGGGGAAATGGTACTATTTCATTTGGAAGAAGTGCTGAGCACATCGCGCCACTTTAACGGCTTTCCTTTCTGCTCATTAGACTAAAATCTGTTCATTCCCCGGACAGCTTTACGGCGAACCTCTAAATAACTGTCCATGACAGAAAGCAGTCATCTATCATTTTTATTTCATCCCCAACCCCTCACCCTCTCCAAGCCTCCTCCTCTGCCTTCCACTCACCTCCTTCTCCTCCCCCCAACACTACTTTGGTTTTGGCATTTTCTCCGAATGATTATTTATGCACACAAACACGCACACCTCCCAGAGTGATGCACTTAGAGCCTCAAACAATTGCATTTTGACACAACTGGGGGAATTTTTTGTCCAAACCAAAGATCTGAGTGTTATGTAACTCGCATAAACATTCATTTTTCTGCCCTACATGTGTGCACACACCACAAGCACCTGCTCTGTTGTCTTACGCTCAGACCAGTGCATACCAGCACACAGAAAGATAACCTATGTAGAATACAGACACTAATACATGTCTCCTCTTTCATGCACGCTTTTTCCATTTCACACTCACACACACGCACTCCCCAAATCATCTCATAAATCAGAGGGAGTGTGGTCCACCACTCCAGGCAGGGGAAGCAGGAGGGGTTGGGTGATTTATTGGCTGCTAATTTTTCAAGTCGTCTTGACATGGCGCTGGAGTTTGCCAAGCCTAAACGACAACATATGCTTGCCAGCTGGGAAGATGGGAAACATAAATAAGAGATACATTTTTGAAACAAAACCTTAATAATGTGCAGAAACAGTCTGTTTTATTTTTTTTAAATTAAAAACAGAACCCAGATCTGGACTTTGAATGTTATGTTCTTCTCTGCATTACAACAAAAAAACATGTTGCAGAATTTAGGACATATTCCAAAATCATCATAGTTATAGTTAATATACTTGCGGTGGGAGTAAAATAGGATATAAAGGCGATTAATCACTGTTTATCAGTCCTCATTTCTGTGCAGGAGATCAGTGAAATTGGGAGCCATAAATCCTGGCTTGCTGACAGCACACTTCGTCTCCATTCGTCCTGGCGCTACAGGTTTATTGTCCTCAAAACCCATTCAGGAGAATGACGGATGAGAGCCTCACGCTGGCTCCCCACTCTTAACCTCTTCCAGGGTAAATTGGCTCCTCCTCCTGATGGCGGAGGGGAGTGGGGAGCACTGCTCGGGCCTGCAGCCCCAGCCCCTGACTCCAAATCCTCCTTCGACAGAGGGTTTCCAATTAAATGAAAGGACTGGCAATGGAAGCAAGAAGTGGCACAAATCATGGTGTGCAGGGGCTGATAGGGAAACAGTATCTGTGCTTACCTTTCTCCTGCTTTAATGTGCACTAATGTGGTCCCAAACTTCATAACTCATACAGATTGAAGGTATAGATTACTACATGTACTGATTGAGCGGCCACATGAAGCTTTGATTCATGTACTGTGTATGTGGATAAGATTAATTATCTGAAATTAAAACAAAGCAGATGCAGGTGCTAATTTTACATGAAAACATGGTGGGGGGGGGGATTTAAATAAGTAAGAAATAGCCTGTGAGGCAGATCTGCATGCAGTGCATAATACACTGTTTAGCTCATCTTAATATAATTGGGAAACTTTTCTTCATTACTCTTGTTGGAGGTTTCAGCTCTGCAGACAGCTGTCACTTAGAAATGCTGTCATATGGCCACCCCCTCAGGCTACCACTCAGAGGCTCTTCTCTGCAGCTAATTCCAATGGAGACAGGAGATGAGTAGTTTTTCACTTACCAATTCATATTTTCTGTTACTACGGTGAAGTTTTCTTGAGGACTCGTGAAAAGCTACCAGCTGTGTAAATGACAGAAAAGAAAGGCTAATTGCCATCTTAATATATGTAGACAGATCCTCTTATTGTTGGAGTGTACTTTAGGGGGATAATTAAGCTCCAGACTCTTGATTAGATTAAACTGTTTTTGGTCCCCAGTGTGTGGATTAAATGCTCATGTATTGGAGCAGGAAGTATTAGAAAGATCAACCTTGTGGAAAATCAGATCTTTCTTTATGGGGGCTGGTTATGACCCCATCATTGGCACAGAGCTGGATTACCCCAGGTCCAACTGGCTCTGCGGGTATTGAGCTTCTTTCAAGTTGACACATATGACATACGAGGTGCCGTGTGACCCTGCCGCCCTCCAGCACATAACTCATATTTTCTCCAGCACCCCTCCCGGAAAAGGTATTTGACTTTGGTGGCTAGACCAGGTTTGTGCTCTCGTACGTTGCCGCTGTTGTTGCTTCTCACGCGCTTACCAAGGTGTGACAGTGCCTTTGATTTATGGGTTATTATTGAAGCAGTGTAGCCTATCGCCAACTCATTATGAGTTTACGTTCACATACATCACCGCATGCAGATTGCATACAAATTTTCAAAAAAGAAAGGAAGAAGCACATTTTTTGGGGGATAGGGAACAACAAACAGCTTAGAAAAAAGGTTTGTATTTGCCCTTTAGCAACTGCGCTCTCAGGCTACCACTGTTCCTAAAAAAAAAGACTAATTTAAATGTCAAGGTCAGCGTTATAAATCACTCGAGGGGGGAAAAGGGGGCACCCTGTAAGTCCAGATCGTGTGCTGGTACATTGGCAGTAAACAAGGTGCCCTGCATGTTAGAAAGTGGGTGCAGTGGGGTATGTGGGCGTCACCTGGCCAAATGAGACGCAAAGTTTGAATATGTGTCTGGACTCACTAATGGAGCGTGATGCTAATAGCAAAAGACATTAAACCCGGCGCTCTGTTTTTAAAAGCGCCACTAATCAGTTTCCCTGTCAGCTTTATTGAAGCAGCGGGGCTGGAGTGTGCATTGTTCATTATGGTGCTCACTGGTTGAACCAACTGTGGGGTCAACGCCACAAACACCAAACAGAAGCCGCTGCTTGAGCATGTCTGTTAGAGATTCACTGAAAACGTACCATGGAAGTGATGAAGGGAGGGTTTTTCCTGGAGATGAAGAATATTGCTGCACAGAGTTTTTTTTTCATGGTCTTGACGTTGGGGGGTGGAGGAAAAACTGGAAGGACTGAAGGAAATTACAACTGGAGGAAGAGTGGAGGCCAACTTAATCATGCCTAGAGATCATTGCTTGTATGCACCTCTGCAGCCTGTAATCAGACAGACACAGGACTGATTGAAGGTTAAACAGAGACCTGACGTTCACATAAGCTCTCCTCTAATCTTGCTGTGATCATTTTGTTGGACCAACACATCTCACCCTGAACTCAGCCAGCAGCAGCTGGTCAAACAAGGTTTAGAGCTGTGGTTTAATCTGGGCTGGATTGCCTTGAGGAAGTTTTCATCACCTAGTCAGATTGTTCAACAATCACATCACATTTCTCTCATCTACAGCACCTACAAGCACCCTCTTCTCTGCTAGCCCATTGGGTGTAAACTATGCAAAAGCCACGGTGCGAAACTAGTGGTATTGCATCCATTACCTGCCTGGACTTCAAGGCTGCCCCCCTGCCAGGTATAAGGGAAGGATGCGTACAGCAAATGTGGATCCTTGCTGAGTACGGCACAAAGCAGCGAGCTGGGAAAGGGGAGAGTGCTCGATGAGGCGCACCTAGAAAAGATTAAATCTATTGTTTCCTTGTCTTGCACATAATGCATTCTGTCATAGGGAAAGCAGTGCCACACGTCTCTCTCTAATGTATTCTGTCATAAGGTAAGCAATGCCAAGTCGAGGATGTTCTCTGAAAGTCTTTTTTTTCCCCCTTGTGTTTTCTCCCTCCACAGTAACAGGGTTTCCCTACCCTGCCACAGGCGCTACAGTGGCCTACAGGGGTGCCCACTTGCGGGGACGGGGACGAGCTGTGTACAACACATTCCGCACAGCTCCACCACCACCACCGATCCCTGCGTATGGAGCGTGAGTATTGATTCTCTTAACTGCAGTCTAGGTACCGCAGCATGTGTTACTATGACCACAAAAGAGAAATATAGAGTTTGTATGGGGGCCGAGATGGTGTAGAGGCAGGGCAGCCAGCTTGGGACCCGAAAGTCCCAGGTTCGATCCCCAGTCACTGCACATCACGTGGCGTCTCTGGGCAGCACGCCTCATCCCCAAAATGCCCCCCGGGCGCTTTCAATAGCTGCCCACTGCACCACCTGGTTGTGGATGGGTTAAATGCAGAGACTAATTTCGCCATTGTATGGAAACATACAGTGCTGACATTATTATTATAAATACTAAAGCCAAGTATCCTGATGCATACTCAATAATCCAGGTAGAAAAATCTAAAAAAGTAAAGTCTTGTCCTCTGGACACTGAGAGAGGAATAAAGGAGGCCATCTTTGTGAAAAGAAATCGTCCATCATTAAACAGGGGTGGAGGCCTCCGTGTTTAACTGTCCCCCTCTTACAATGCTGTGATTGCTAGTATCACTCAGCCTCCAGTGAATAGTAAACAGCCATCAATGTGCTAATGATCCATCGTTAGGCTGATGGTCCTTCTTGATCATGTGAACAGCTGGTTTTGGTTGTCAGCAGCAAAAGTGGTTGATCCACTCTGAGAAGGTGCTATTTATAAGACTGAGCTGAATACAGCTCCTCAGACTGAAGAAGTCTTTCGGCTGAAAGATGAAACGTTTCTACATTTTTATTTTTGTTTTGTTTTTTCAATGTCCAGAGGACCAGACTTTACTTTTTTAGACTAAAGCCAAGTGTTGAATTGTTTTTAATGTGGTGGTCAAAATATTTGAATATATTTAGCTAATTTAACAGAAAAACAATTGAATCTTGTATTCATTTGAGACTGGTGTCCTTTACATGTTTTTTTTTTTTTTATTGGTATTGTTGACAAAGCCGGGGTGAGAGCTGAGATAGTGTATTAATAGGCAGATCTCAGTGGACTGTGACCAGGGTTTGTACTGATCTCTGAGCTGGTGCAGCTTAACACTCACCTCTTATCAGCAGCTGCCTGTGTGGTCAGAGGAGAGGTCTGATGAAGGCCGGCTGAGTGCCCGGTGTAGCCGTCTTATCTGTGATTAGATCTGGATCCGTCTTACTGCAGGACGACTCGCTGCTGAAACCAGGACTAGAAATCCCTCCCTCCCACTTTGTGGCCCCCTTGGAACTGATGGCAGCTGTTTGATTTATAAGGCAGAGTCATGTGACGAAGATGCTTCCACTGCTTCCTATTGTCCTCTTCTTCTCTCTACACAACCACTGCAGCAGCTGGAAAGACAAACAACTTTAGCAGAGCAGAAAATTGGACAGGGAGCTGAAACGGTTGCACCTTTCAGTTCAACGTGTCATACATTATTTGTGATACAGTGCACTGATGCTGCCAAAAGCTCACTCTCCAGACACACGGATAGTATAAATGGCCCAGGTTGTGATTCAGCAAGCTCGACCAAATCTACTAACTTTCCTTTCTTGTTCTACAATTTCACAGTGTGGTGTATCAAGATGGCTTCTACGGTGCCGAGATCTATGTAAGTACAGTTGACTTTTCTTCTTCCCCGCTTAGATGAAACAGAAGTAAAGTAGACAAAAGATTCAGCCCAGGAGACAAAAAAGTGATCTCCTCAGCCCCCAGCTTTCACTCAGCCTTGCTGCCAAGCTGGCGTCGATTAGCCCCCTGTCTAGTGTGCCAAGAAACCCAACAACAAAATTTAAAACCCCCTCAGCTCCTCCCTCCTCTCCCTTTCTTGCTATGATCTCAGACTTTGGCAGAAAGATAGACTCTGACTCAGTGTCCCATGTGAAGTTAGGTCATTTACTCCTTCAGATTTGTCTGGGTTTGTAAGGCCTCCCTCCTCTGTCCTATTTTGTGTTCACTCAAGAGGTCTTGGCTGGGATATCCCTGCCTGTCCCAGGGGGGTCTGCACAGGCCTGAGTGGAGCCAGTTCCTCCCAGCCACCACCGTGAGGGAGATAAGAGGAGCAGCAGATAAAGGGATTTGCCATCCCTCTGGATGTGTCCATGTAGGCAGGGTCACGTAGGGGGCTGGTCATGCTACACGTCGCCTTTGACAGAGAAGAGCATGAACGCAGTGGAGATAATGTTGAAATCACCACGCTGCCCCATTTTGACATGAGTCCAAACGTTTGTGCGTGTGGCGGTGTAATTTGTTTCTTTGATTTTAGTGTTGTTGTTGGTTTTTTTTTCTGTCCTGCTCCAACAGCGAGATGACAGTAGTCTCAGCAGCAGAAACAGCTGCTTCTCACTTTCACCCTGAAAGAAACAGTTAACTGGGACTGAAACACTAAGCCCCATAATATATGGCTTACACACCAGCCCACATGATAGGACAATATTTCACTGGCTTTTATTGCACAGACACCCACCATCATAGAAGATATCTTGGCTGTGCACTGAGTGATGTCTGTCTTGTTCAGGCACCTCCAGCTAAGTCCTGTATACACCGATATCTCTTGACCAAGGCATGGCTAGGTTGATTCATCACTCACCCCATCAGCCCAGCCTCCAGGGCTTCACTGCTATTAGCTTATGCAATGGCTACCGCACTGCTTCAGACTGGTTCAGTCTGCATGAAGCTCTCCAGTGACCAGGTGGAAGCTGTCCTTTATCTCCCGGTGTCCTGAACAATCATTCAGGGCACGCTGAAATGCTGTCAAATGCAGCTGGATGACATCTGAAAAAGTGTATGTATGCAAATATAAATATATACCAGCAAGATTGCATATGCTAATACATATGCATGTCCCGTCATGTGAAACACGTGAATGCACACATACATGATTGCACTAACACATACTCGCCATGACAAAATAACAAATGTGCTGCACTGCCGTGTGCGGGATTTGACAATGTGGTGATTTATTGGCCCCTGTTTGTTCGGGCTGTTGCTGTAATCAGCACAGTCCCAAGGCATGCCTGTCCCACAGGAAGTCATCTGCCTCGAGTACTGTGACTTCCTGTCCCTCTGGAAATCCATGTCAAGAATTAGAAGATTGGGATTGAATCAGAACAGAGGCATGAATCTGCCTTTTTTCCCCACGTGCAGATCAGGGCCCAGGCTCTCAATCGAACAGCTTCACCCTCAAGCTTAAAAATGAATGAAAACATGCATTATTAAAAGCCACCTATCTGCTGCATGGACACAGATGGGCACACACTCCAGTGGCACTAATAGAAAAACAGTAGGCGAACAGCTTCATTTTTCAAAGAGAGTAATAGCAGCACTCCACAATGAGGTCTTTAATTCCTTTCCCACTTCGGCAAATGAATACAGCAGTCCTGACTCCCCAACGGTCCAACTGTCTTCTGCCTTCGTGCTTCATTTGGGAACCGGGGGGGTCGTGTAAAGGAAAAAAGGCGTTCTTTAATAATGTAACAGCAAAAAAGTCCTCAGTCTAAAAATGGGCTGAATTTGGGGAGTTGGCTCACGTGGCCTTTAGTGATGCTGCTACTCGAGCAAGTTTCTGGTGTGACAATAAGTTGTTTCTCAGGACATCATTTATTCCCCCGTTGCCACCTCCCTCCAAACACCATATATCAAACAGCACCCTCTGGTGTCTCTAAGGAAACCTGCAGATAACCAAAGTGCTGTGCAGTGACATTTAACTATTAAGGCAATTTAAAGCTCATTGTCTATATCGTTGTTTTCTTGCGTGTGCGAGTTCTAACCTTTTCCTGTGCAGGTTGTGTTTAATCACTAATTAATACTCTGGTATTTTAACAGGGTGGCTATGCAGCATACAGATTTGCCCAGCCCACCACCACCGCTGCTTACAGTGACAGGTGAGAAGCTCTCTCAATCAGGAAGAATGCAGTTACTGCATATTAAATGTGTATAATTTAATGGTTCTGGGTATGTAAGGAAAAATGGATCACCATGGAATATTTAATTTGTTGCAGGGTCTTTTTCATTGACAACAGAACCTGGATTATACAATCCAACAAACGTAATGTTTTGAACTAATGCATTCTGCGTTAACAACAGGAAGAAGGAAAGTCTTATACAGATGCGTAAAATGTAGGATAAAATGACAGAAACATCTATCTAATGTTGAACAATGCTATCTTTGGTAACAAGAACTTTACTGAGTGAAGCAGAAAAAGTTGAGGACCAGGGAAGGGCGGCTTTCTGCTTCATGTAATTAGAGTTTTTGCAACAATAAGGAACGTATCTACGGGCCAACATGCAAGTGATGAATGGTGGCTGCTTCCTCAGCATTTTACAATATTCTGTGAAGGTTATTTAGGGTTCCTGAGGTTTTCTTGCTCTAATTTTATCTTATCCATTAGGCATGCCACATATTCTTTTTTAGCTCGGAGCTAAAGAACACCAGCGCACGAACGAAAAAAAACTGCACTAACCTTGTTGGACTCGATGAGAAAAGCAGTGATATGTCGTGACTCTCTGCTACTGATGGGGGAGTGGGTATATCACTGATATCACTGTAGTATTTATGAATGGCCTCAGGTCTATGACAGAAGAAGGGACGGGGGTGGGGGGGGGTGGACCAGGAGGTCTATCACTACTGAGTGATGTCAGTCTGGTCCAGGTGTGCTCTTTTTGAGAAGGCATCACTGATTCATTTCGGCCCCTGAAAGCTGTTGTCAGCCGGGATCTGGGCTGGTTTAGGAATCTAATCTGGAAAGGATTGAGCATGTCACTTGTGATAACATACACCCTGCCTGAGAGCCTGGAGATTATATCAATAATGTAAGATTTATCAGACCTCGCTGCAGCTCGAATTATGAGCAGCCGTGCTTGGAGAGAGCAGAAATTGGACAACAGCTTCTTTTTTTTTCTTCTTCTTCCTCCCCATAACTTTTCTCCAAGATTTAATACATTTCACACAAAAGTTGTTTGTTTTGTCCTTTTGAATAAGCGGTCGCGCCCGTTGGATCAATAGAAGTTCGTATTGTTTCAACAAATGCCATATCCAAAGTGCATCCAGCCAATCAGAAAAGAGATCCCCAGGCAGGCGTGTGAAAATATCACCGGCTACATCATCGGAGTCTTTCGAGTAACTTAGAGTTCAGACCAGCGTGTGGGATGTGTCAGAGGGGCCAGTCAGCTCCGTGACACTGGACAGGGTGGTTTGATCCGCCGCTCGTCACTGTGGTGAGAACTATTTTGTGGACACATTATCCTTAGAGGGCTGGTGGGATTTGGTGCTCACTGAAGACAAAAGGACCACAGAGACTTACCCAGACCATCTCATGGTACCAGTTTCATCCCCAAACAGCCTTCATGATGTCACGTTCTGCTTGCTGACATTGGGTGCCAATGGACTTCAATGGGCAGAGCTACGTTGACATCACATGTACTGTAGCTCACTCAGAAAACACAAATGTTGCACATCTCATTGTTTCCTTTGGGAGAATTTCTTCCTCTCTACACTTATTTTTATTCCTGGTTGATTTGGTGCCCTCAGTCCTTGGCTGGGTGTGTCTTATCTTCTGTGTGCAGACCTTCATTTGCAAGCAAACACTGAAAGGAAGAAAAAAAAAAAAAACAGAAGGAAAGTAAATAGAGGAATATGTGAAGTGGAATAAATAAATAAATAAGGCAGACACATCTTGTCCTGTCTTAGAAGGAAATTGGAAGGATTAGTTCCAAACCAGCAACAATGAAAAGACAAGGGCATGAGCCCAGTGTGCAGCCTGGGTAAACAAGCTCAGGGGGGAAGACCAAACCCTCCAGCACCAGCTGTGTTCTCGGTTTGCATCTTTCTCCTCCTGCCCATTACCTGTTTCATCCACCTAATCCAGATGGCAACAAAAAGACAAGTATAATTCACTGACCTCTGTGAACGGTGATGCAGGAGGCCGAGGCGATCGTTGATTGTGTTGGAAACTCGAGGGGGTTACACGCATGTATAATTGTTGTGTTTTCTGCGCCTCTTGTCATGCAGCTATGGCAGAGTCTATGCAACAGCAGACCCCTATCACCACACGATTGGCCCTGCTGCCACGTACAGTGTGGGGACCATGGTAAGTGTGAGCGCCGCCTGTTCCCGTCTCCAACATCATGACACCAGCAAGCACACACTCTACAATAAAGGCCAGAGACTTTAGTGGCCTCTGGTTTTTATTTACATATTTTTCATTAATTTAGTTTTTCTCATGCTCTCTGGCACACCCTAGTGGAGATGAGCAGTAGTGTGACTGCCTGGCATGTTTGGACATTTTTAGTGCAGTAAGTGAATGTTCTGCTCTCAAGCATTACTGATCTGATACTAGCTCCTCATGTAACGAGAATGATCACCGCAGTGTTTTCTGTTCCATTTTAACTCCAACTTTATGTTCATTTCTCATCATTCAACTTGCTGTTCAGTGAGTTAGATCCTTTGTTTTTGTTATTTTCCATTCCGCCAAACCTGAAGGGATGAAGTTCAAACGTTAATGTCTGTTTTTAGCTAGCTTTTGCAGCTACTGTAACATCAAAGATGAAAAGGGATGATACCGGTAAATTTAAATAAAAAAAAAAAAAGCATATTGTTTTGAAAGTTTCTCTTTGGTTTTGTTTTTTGACCATGAGGGGAAAGGACTGGGCTCACAGACCAAACCCAGAGATTAAGGACCATCAAACGCATGCAGCAGCGTGCCGTGGGACATAAATGAGAGAGCGAGACAGAGAGGGAGGGCAGGCGAGCTGTCTCACCCTCCTCCTCTGCCCACAACCTTGATCGGAGGCGTGCTCTTTGCTTGAGAAATGACTCAAATTTAACATTCCGGCATGCATGCAAGTCTTAAACAACAAGAAAAACTAAAGCTTTCAGTTCCCCGGTGCAGCTGCTAGCTAAAAGCTTTCATTAATTAAGACTTTTCTTTCTCCCTCTTCATTTACTTAATTAAAAAATGTGCTTGAATGTTTTTTATTCTTTCTTCTTTTCCCTCCAAATTTCCTTCCATTTCTCTCACACCTAAATCGTCCTCTCAATGAAAGTAGAAAACGGGACCTGGCCCCTAAAAATATCAGAACTAATTCTGTGTGTGTTGGGAGCTTGGGAGCTAACACAGACTTGGAAGGGTGTGTTAAAACAAAAAGCGAGGCTACAGGGGGGGACACTGTGCAGAGGCCAACATCTAATAAAGTCCAGAGCTAAAGAGAAATGAGCAGTTTGGTTCCTAATTCTTTAATCATATTTGATTAATGCTTCTCCAGCAGAGTTGTCCTTTTTTGCATTTTAAAAGCTATACAATAATTAGTTCCTCTGAGGATGAAAAATCTTTACTCACTTTCAGCTTGCAGACAGACGTACCTCATACGAATAAAAGTTTCATGCAAGCAAGAGGACTCCCTGAAATTAGGCAAAATTAGCCTTTGAAGACGTGCGGTGGCCTTTTGAGTTTCACTTTCTAATTGAAACAGAAGCACATAGGTGTGAAAGGAGGGACTGTGTGTGTGTGTGTGTGCATGTGCAGGCGTGCATGCGTAGGCCCACTTGCATGCTTTATGTGTCTCTGCCCTAGATATCTTGAGCATGGTGTTAAATCTAAGGGCTAATATCCTGTGGTGATTTGCCCCTGCAGAAAGGTGCAGGCACCTCTGCGAGACATGAAAAGGAGCTGTGATTAAACCTCGCTGAACTTATTCTGCTTTTGGGTGGATGTCTGATGTTTTTACAGCCCTGCAAGAATTGATTTATTCTGGTAGAAAATAATATATAGAAATAATCATATTCCCCCTTTTAATTATTGCAATTAGAAGCGATAATCAAGCCCAGGACTAGTGTTTATATGTTTCTCATTTAAGTGTTTTTATGAGTAATAAAAAAATTGCACCAGAGTAACTAGAACTTGACCAACCCTGTTCCTAACACACACTCAGGTAATCAATTCAGCAAAAAACAATTATTGGCTTAAATATATCAAACTATCAATCTGCTTCATGACCGTCCATAAACAGAATGTTATTTCAACATGAAAAGTCGATAACTTTAAAGGAAGGAAATTTGTGGAGAAAGAGAATCCAAGGAAAGCTGTCACCTGAATACTGATTGGTACTTTTTCATCTTTGATGTTGCAGGCTAGCCTATACAGAGGAGGGTACAGTCGCTTCACTCCCTACTAAAAGAAAGAAAAAAGCGAGAAAAGACAGAGACATTACCCCAAACAAACAAACAAAAAAAAAAAATCTATCTTTAAAAGATAAAACAAAGACTAACAAAACAAGTGAACACCCAGTCCTTGGTGGAGAGCTAAATCAAACAAAAAGCTTCCAGGTCCACATGCTGAGCCCCTTTCCTGACACCCTCCCAAGCAGATATTTCTACAACAACCTCTTTGATGTCATCATTGGTCTGCTCTTGTTTTGTATTCATTTTTGTGCTTCTGGTTTTCTTTTGGGAACTTTTATGCACATGTGCATTATCTCGATTGCTGTATATGGGTGCTGTGTCACCATAACCAATGTGAGCCTACTGCAGCACGCATGATGCATGCTCAGAGGTGTGTGTATGCAGCTGCTGTCATCTGACTAAGAACATACTGGGACGTTTCTATGTTTAAAAACGCACAGGACATGCAGGAATTGGGTCGATGCTGATCAGCATCCTGTTTAATTCACTTTCTAACCTTTAGCCCTCGTGGAACCTGTAGAAATTCACAGAACAGCCCGGTGGTTCTTAGCTCAAAGACAGCACTGCTCTGATTGCTCTGTTTTTTCCTTTTAACATTAAAGTGTCCAACTGTTGTGCACTTGCAGTGGAGCCTTACAAGCTGTACAATGTGGAATGACAGCATGCAGAGTAAAGGGTCACAAAGGCCAGATTTCAATTGTAGAACTCACACTGCTCAAGTGGCAGCCCAGTCTCCTGCAAATCCCTTTATATGCGACTCTGCAGCAGCAGTTGGGGTTTTGGGGTAAATGTAACGCTGGCAGGGTTGTGTTCAGAGACAACCATCGTATAAGCACAGCCAAAGGTAAATGTTGCGGATGAGCATTTGCTTTTCCCATTGGCAGCTTAAAATCACATCTCATCTCGTGCTCAGTGGTATTTTTAATAATTTACAGGAGCGATTGGGAGCGAACACAAACCAAATGAAGCGTTCATTTTAAGCTGCCTAAATCTGCTCCAAGGGTTGCTGTTCTTTTATTTGACCTTGTTTAGTAAATGTCTTTTCTCCGAGCTAAAGCGATAATCCTACGGAGATCAGTTTTTCTTACACGTAATAAGGCTCTTCAGCAACCACAGTAGACATTATAGCCATGTTTGAAAAGTTCTCCCAATAACGCATAAACAGAACCCTAGGCCTTCAATCGATGAAGCTCTACAGTAGGATGTTATGCACAAAAATTGTAGAAATTTGTTCTAAAAGCTGCAGCTATTGCGCAATTACGATTCAGCTGTATGTGTAAATGCAGTTTACATGTTGTGGACTTTATTGTATTTAGAGCAAAGGTGCAGAATATGACCGTTTTATTAAATAATAAGTAGCAACTGTAGCTTGTAAATAAGATTTTTTTAGAACGCTGGATTATAGTAAAGCAATTAGATTAGTTGCTTTGAAAAGTAAAATTTTGATGCTTTTTGTACGAGTCAATTTGAAGTTGCAACTTCAAAATAGGTCTGTCGCGATAAACAATAAATCAATTAATCGCATGATAAATGAAAATTATCGACCTAATTTTCATTTATCGTCTCTTTCTACTGAAGACACTGGTCGACAAAAGATTCAACTCCGGTTCTCTTCACTGACCCTTCTCTTTCTCTTTAAAATCAGTTTTTACCGTCCAAAATTGTGTTTTTCGATCGTTAAAAGCAGCTAAGCTACGAGCTAAGCTAATAGGCTGACCTTAGGGAAAAAAACCTCCGTCTTGTTGAAGCTCCAAAATTCACAGCTGAAACCCGTACCTTCGTGTAAAAAGTTGTTTTTCTCTGCATAAAGAAGCTGAGAACTTGTTTACTGATTTTTTTTTATTTTTTATTAAAAGCTTTGTGTGACAAATGCTATGCTAAAGAGCTCAAACCGCACACAGGACGGAGAGACAGCCCATGTCATGTCAAGAGGGCTCCCTCCCATTTTTCTTAAAGAGACACGCTGCTCACTCCCTCACTATCCATCCATTACTACACTCAAAATGAACCAACATTTCTTCTTAAATTTGACAATAATTACCAATTATTGTCAAATTTCAAACAATATTATCGTTTATCCCAATAGTATTTGAGACAATTAATCGCCCAGCAAAATTTATCGTGACAGGCCTACTTCAAAATGTGACAGTTTAAAATATTTTAGTGTGCATTAGTTGCACACGTTACAGTGTAGCCGTGTTCATCTGCAGCCTGCATTTCCCCAAACGACGTAGAGCGCAGAAAGGTCCCATATGAAGTGAATTTGCAGCAGACGCAGTCACATCTCCTCACCGGTACACAGCAAGAGTGAATCTGCACTCCAGATCCTTTTTCACATCGACTCACACGCACGGGGGGGTGGTGAACACAGCAGAGGGCCGTTCTTCTACAAGTCACTCTCATCTTTTCTTTAAGCATTGCACAAGATGTTTTACCTCAGGACAAACTAAATGAACTTCACAAAGTAGAAAGCAGAGCTACTCATCCTCAGCAGGCAGGACAGTTTAGTTTCTAAAACAACCAGCAGGTTTGTCCTCTTTGCGACACCTCACTCCTCGAGGAGCTGATGTATGATCTTTGTTTGAGTGGAGACCCCAAGAGAGGATGATAAAATAAGACTACTCTATTATATAGATAGACATATACTGTATAACACACAAGTACGGGAAGATATTTAAAAAAAAAAAGGCACCTAGACATTCAAAGATGTGATGTAGGTGTGTTTAGAGAGCAGCAGTGCTCGCCTCCTAGAAAACATTCAGTCGTTGCATCGGCTTCTATCTGTGCTACGTGAGTTGGATTTTAAAGAAGTTCTCTGTGTAGCTACTGTTAGCTGTCAAAACCTTAGTGCAGCTATGGAAACTCAAAGCTATTACCAATATTCTTTCATTTAAATGTACTCACAGAAGTGTTTGTGATCTTTAAAAAATAATGTTTGTTGCACTTTTTTTCCCAGCCCTTTCTGAAATGTAACATATTTATGAAAAATCTCATACAGCTAGTCATGTTTAGTCAAAATGTTAAATGATAGAGTAATGTATTTAAAAAAAAAAGAAAATTAAAACATTATCTCACGAGTTAAGACAAAAAAATAAAAAAAATAAAAAGACTTTGTTCTTCCTTTTCTATGCTAGTATGTATGCTCCACAACATTTGGAGTTTTTATAAGACGCAAAACTAACTTCCACAATTATTTTTTCATCATTTGCAAACGAGAGTTTCTCATCTAAACTTTGCAGCAGAGCAAACGAGTGTGTGTTCGGTTAGTGATCACTATTAGTCAGCTAGACTTGAATGAGATGCATTTAATTTCGTTTGGTTTTTGATCTGAATGTGTGTGCCTACGTGCTATATACAAACATACATATATGAAAATATTTAAATATGCATCAGAATGTTTGACTGTTTGATGGAGGAGGAGGGAACGCAGCGTGCTAGCATGCTGCCGTTAGCCAACAGGTTTGGATGACATCACTCCCAGTCCCTGTAATATCACAACATCCACACTCTGACCTCAAAGAAACCAGCAGCAGCAGCAAACTCACTTTTTTTACACTTCAGCTCTGAAGCACGAGTATCGAACTCCAATTCATAACAGGACAAAAATAAATGCACAGTCGATGATTGTAATGGTAAAGATGAATTTGTCAGGTGCTGCCAAGAGTGACATGTTTGTGATGCATTATTTACTCAGATAAACTAATCGATGTGAATTTTAGTTCAAAAAGTGTTACATTAGGCCATTATGTTTTGAAAATGGCTTTGACTACAATTTATTTTGAATATATTGGTGATTGTTGTATTGAACTGGAGCTAAATAAGTAAAAGTGAACTAAGCCCATTTGAGCATTCGGCTCCTCACAAAAAAATAAAATGAATCAGGTCATCTGGACAGATGTTTCTTGGTTGAAAACTTGGGATGCACGATTGTATCGGTATCAGCCAATATTAGCAATAAAGTTAAATATCGATCAGTCCATCAAAATAACTATATAAAAGCCGCTGTTTTTGTATGAAAACCCAGTGACAAGGATGCCTGCAGCGCCAGCACAGCGTAATGACGTCACGCACGCCGTTGAGTTTAGATTTGGGAAAATTTACAAATTTGCACTGTTCGAGTGTTGTCATTGTGTTAGAGAGTAAATGTCATGAATACATTTGACATTAAGCATAATCCAATTTGAAGTGTTGCATCATTTTCAGACCCTTTTTGGCCTCCGCATTTGCAGAATAATGTAGTATTTTAACTGCACAGCAGAGAAAGCTATGTAGTCTCTGTAGGTCTAGGGAAAGAAAATATCGGTTATCGGCCAAATACCGCATTTTTTGCTATGTAAGTCGCACCTTTTTGCATAAATTTGCAAGTCCTGCGACTTATACAGCCAAGTAATACAGTAATGTATTTATTTTATTTTCCCCCATATTTATAACCCGATTTTTGGCTGAGATCTGACGATTTCATTCATTCTGACATGGAAATATTGAACACTACCATTTTCAGTCGCTAAAGGGCCCTCAACTTATATGGCAAGCAAAGTGTCTCATTAATGAGACACTTTGCTTGCCATACCAAGCCACCTTCGTCTCTCGCTCCAGAACTCCTGAAGCAAATGTCAAATCAGCTTCATTTTGCTTCGCCGCCCAGGCGAAATGCAGTTGATTTGACCATTAAAGTGCATTTATTAAGGAAAAGTTAGACTGAGACACAACTTTACTAAAAAGTCGAGCAAACAAATAATTGTTTTTAGGTGGTTATCTTGTTAAATTTTGAAGAAATGCACAGCGAGTCGTCCCTCTGCTTGCTCCCGCAAATCAATTTTTGAAATGCAGCTGATTTGATCATCAAAGTGAATTTATTAAGGAAAAGTTGGACTGATGAGACTTATAGGGCGGTGCAATGTGTACGGTGGCAAGTACAGTCAGATATAACATATTGGATATCAGCCAAAAATCCAGTATCGTGCATCTCTAGTTGAAATGTTTCGTCTTTCATCCAAAAGACGTCAGCCTGAGATCTGCCAACAAACTCTGTCATATAAATAACACCTTTTCCAAGTGGTTCACGCCAGTCTGCTGTAGAATTCCA